TCCCTCCCCCCGCCCTCCCCCACTCTCCCTCCATCCATCTGTCCGCCCACCGCCCGCTCTCCATCTGTCCCATGTCCCGCTGCCCCTCATCCTGGCCAGGAGGAGGAGGAGGAAGGTGGGTGCCCCAGTGCCGGGCAGAGCCTTTGCCCCCCACCCCCTCCCTGCCCCATGGCACTGCTGGGTGAGTCAGGATGGGTGCCCCGTAGCCAGCGCTGTCCCCATCCCGCGGTGGCCATCCGGATGGGTGCCCCAGAGCAGGTGCTGTCCCCATCCCGCGGTAGCTGAGCAGGACGGGTGTCCCGTACTAGTGCCATCCCCCTCCCATGGTGGCCAAGCGGGACCGGCACCCCACAGCCAGCACCGGCCCCATCCCATTGGCTCCATCCTGTGGTGGCCGAGTGGGATGGGTGCCCCATAACAAGCACCAGCCCCATAGCCATCCCCATCCCCATCCCGCCATCCCCATCTCATGGTGGCCAAGTGAGATGGGTGCCCCATAGCCAGCACTGTCCCCATCCTGAAGTGGCTGGGTGGGACCGGCGCCCCATAACCAGTGCTGTCCCCATTCCGTGGTGGCTGAGTAGGTCAGGCACCCCATAGCCAGCACTGTCCCCATCCCATGGTGGCCAAGCAGGACGGGTGCCCCATCACCACCGCCGTCCCCATCCTGCGGTGGCCGGCACTGCCACTGACCCCTCCACATCCCCCCCCACCAACAGACGGGGTCCACAGCGCGACGGCCCAGTGCACGCTGCGGGTGACGGTGATCACGGACGAGATGCTGAGCAACAGCATCACCCTGCGCTTGGCCGACATGTCCCAGGAGCGATTCCTCTCCCCCCTGCTCAGCCGCTTCCTGGAGGGGGTGGCAGCTGTCCTGGCCACCCCCCGCCACCGTGTCGTCCTCTTCAATATCCAAACGGACACGGACGTGGGGACCGCCCGTATCCTCAACGTCAGCCTCTCAGTGCTGCTGCCCACCTCGGGGCACGGCGCCCGCTTCTTCTCCTCCGAGGAGCTGCAGGAGCGGCTCTACCTCAACCGCTCGCTGCTGGCCGCCATCTCGGCCCAGCGGGTCCTGCCCTTTGACGACAACATCTGCCTGCGCGAGCCCTGCGAGAACTACATGCGCTGCGTCTCCGTCCTCCAATTCGACAGCTCGGCGCCCTTCCTCGCTTCTGACACCATCCTCTTCCGCCCCATCCATCCCGTCACCGGCCTGCGCTGCCGCTGCCCGCCCGGCTTCACCGGCGACTACTGCGAGACGGAGATCGACCTCTGTTACTCCAGCCCGTGCGGCAGCAACGGGCGGTGCCGGAGCCGCGAGGGCGGCTACACCTGCGAGTGCCACGAGGATTTCACCGGTGAGAGCCCGGCGCGTCCGTCCCTGGTATCACCTTGTCCCGTTCCCCTTCGGCCCTCCAGCAGTGATCCTGTCCTCTTGGTGTCCATCCTCATCATCCCTTCAGCCAGCTCCCCTTCATCTACCCCTTCTCAGCTCTCCCTCCATCATCCCTTCAGCCAGCTCCTCTGCAGCCCTCTGTCCTCTATCCATCCCTTCCTTTTGGTGTCCATCCTCATCATCCCTTCAACCAGCTGCCCTTCAACTATCCCTTCCTCAGCTGTCTCTCCATCATGCATCACCATCATCCCTTCAGCCAGCTCCTCTGCAGCCCTCTGTCCTCTCTAACTTCTGTCCCTCCATCATCCAGCTCCATCATCCCTTCCTCCTTCCCTTCAGCTCTCCATCCCTCCATCATCCTTCCCCCAACATCCCTTCACCCCACTCCCCCTCAGCCCTCCATCGTCTGTTCCTTCTGCTGTCCCTCCGTCATCCATCCCCATCATCCCTTTGTCCTACTCCAGTCCTCCATCAGCCATCCCCATCAGACTTCATCCCATCCCTCCTCAGCCTTCCTCATCTACCCCTTCTTCTGCTGGCCCTCCACCATCCATCGTGGTCATCCCTTCAGCCTGCTCCCCCTCAGCCCTCTGCCACCCCTTCCTTCCTCAGCTGTCCCTCTGTCAGCCATCATCCCTTGGCCATCCCTCCGGCCATCCCTCCCTCCCTTCCCCTCCAGCCATCTCTCCATCCTCCCTCCCTCCCCTTTGTCCCCAACACCTTTATCTTCCTCCTCTCTTCCATCTCTCCACCTTCCTCCCTCCTCTCACCACCCTGCCCCCCTCCCTCTGCCCTGTCTCCCTATTGTCCCCCACCCCTCACCCCCTCCCACGTCCCCCCTCCTGTCCTCCCATCACCCTCCATGTCTGGTCCCCTGTCCCCTCTGTCCCTCCACCCCAGTGAGGTCCCTGCAGGAGGTCGGCGGGGGAACTGGGACACTGGTGGCGCCAGAGCCTGGGGGACACCCTGGGGTGCAGGGAGCCCCACCACGGTGGCCCAGCCATCTGCTCCCCACCACGGCTAGCCTGGGGGGGGGAGACGGGACACACCATGGTCACTGGGAGACTGGTGGCACTGGGGACAGCCCCCACCTTCCCTGGGGACCCCTGGGCACCCCCAGCCCCCACGGGACACACGGGTGGGGGGGTGCCAGCTGGTGGGGGAGGGGATGCTGGGGGGGGGGCTTTGACTCAGTTGCCATGGTGACAGGAGGTGGTTGCCACGGCAATGGAGCTGGGGATAAAGCCTCTCTGGAGCTGATGGGGGGGGGATGAAGAGGGGATCCCCACCCCCCCATCCCCCCTTTTGGGGGTGCAGGGGGTGCCCGGCACCCTGGGCCTGGTGCCGGGTGCCAGCTGGGCCTCGCGCAGGGGAGCGCTGTGAGCTGAGCGCCCGGGGGGGTCGCTGCGCCCCGGGGGTCTGCCGCAACGGGGGCACCTGCCTCAACCTGCTGGTGGGGGGGTTCCGCTGCCAGTGCCCCCCCGGGCACTACGAGAAGCCCTTCTGCACCATGAGCACCCGCAGCTTCCCCCCACGCTCCTTCCTCACCTTCCGCGGCCTCCGCCAGCGCTTCCACTTCACCCTCGCCCTGACGTGAGCCCTGCGGGGGCAAGGGGGGACCCGTGGGCATCATCTGGGGCGATGGGGTGTGGGGTTATGGGTGTCCCATGGGCAGTGGTGTGTGGAGTGATGGGTGCCTCGCTGGCATCAATTTGGGGTGTTGGGGCGATGGGTGTCCCATGGGCATTGGATGGGGTGTGGGGTGATGGGTGCCCCGTTAGCATGAGACGGGGTGGGGGGGTGGGGGGCAATGGGGTGTGGGGTGATGGGTGTCCTGTTGGCATCATTTGGGGTGTGGGATGATGGGTGCTCCATTGGCATCATCTGGGGTGATGGCGCGTGGGGTGATGGGTGTCCCATGGGCAACGGGGTGTGGAGTGGTGGGGTGACCCCTTGGCATGGGGACAATGGGGTGGGGGGCACCCCATGGGGGCAGTGGGGCAGGGGGTGATGGGTGCCAGTGTGTCCCGGTGGGTGCAAGGTGATGGGCCATGGGGCAGGCTAGGGAGTTGTGGGGTGATGGGGCATGCTTGGGGGGCATGGCAGGGGGCCGGGGGGGTGATGGGCAGAGCCTGGCACTAGTCCCTGCACCAGGTTTGCCACCAAGGAGCGGGACGGGCTCCTGCTCTACAACGGGCGCTTCAACGAGAAGCACGACTTTGTGGCGCTGGAGATCGTGGGCGAGCAGGTCCAGCTCACCTTCTCAGCAGGTACAGGCACCGCGCCCGCCGCGCCCCGGCACGGCATCCCCGGCATTCCCTCCCGGGCATCGCATGCCTGGCACTGCCTGGCACTGCATCCCTGGCACTGCATCCCATGCTGTACATATCTGGCATCGCATCCCGGGCATCGCATCCCTGGCACTGCCTGGCACTGCATCCCTGGCATGTGTCCTGGGTATCACATCCCTGGCACTGCGTCCCATGCTGTACATCCCTGGCACTGCCTGGCACTGCACCCCAGGCATTACATCCCTGGCATTACATCCCTGGCACTGCATCCTGGGCATTGCATCCCTGGCACTGTATCCTATGTGTCGTGTCCCTGGCACCACATTCTGGGCACTGCCTGGCACTGCATCCCATGCGTTGCGTCCCTGGCACTGCCTGGCACTGCATCCCAGGCATCCCGTCCCTGGCGCTGTCCCCATGGCACTGCAGCCCTGGCACTCCCATCACTCTGCTCCCCCCCCTGTGCCCCCTCCCCGGGCTGTTCCCGCTGCCTGACCACTGGTGCCCACAGGTGAGACCACCACCACGGTGTCACCCTTTGTGCCGGGTGGTGTCAGCGACGGGCAGTGGCACCGGGTCCAGCTCCACTACTACAACAAGGTGGGGGCACTCTGGGGGGCACAGGGTTTTGGGGGGGAGTGGGGTGAGGTTTGGCGGGGACAGAGGAAGAGGGGA